AATAGACAAAAAGATTATTAAATCAATTACCAAACCTAGATATTCAAGTGTTTCTAGCTCAGACAGACCAAAACCACCACAAACTAGAAAAAGAACGCTAAGATCTCAGGAAGGATCGGGAATATTGAATTTATCTAATAAAAAAATTGATTTTGTGTATTATGACAATGTTAACGAGATAGTAGAAAGGTTAAAATTATTAGTTGCTTCCCAAATGGCAGGACATACAGGACATCAAAATGAAATCGTATCTATTTTAGAAGAACTACGAGAAGCTAGGATAATTGAATAAAAGTCCATTTTCTTATTTCAAACCAATCACATTGAAAATGACTCTTGACAAGTTCGGATCACACATTTTGAGCAAATATGGAAAAGATTCATCGACAAATAATGTCAATTCTCTCAACCTAGTTAACATTGCAAACGTTAAATTGTATTATACTGTGGTTTTACCATTTGTTGGCAAACATGATCCAAGTGCAAAAAATTTCCTCTTAGCAGGGGAGATTGATAGGATATCATATAGATTTCCATTTGAATCTGGGAATATATTAGGAGGAGAATATCCTAAAAAAGATATAACTTTGCTGGTTAATGGAAAAAGTGGAAAATTAGAGGGTCGAGAGTTGAAAAAGGGAGACTTATTAGCATTTAGACGGGACGTTTCTAGCAAGCTCATTGAATTTTATAGTGAATTATTAATAAAATGCCCAGTTATCATTGAATTCTGATCATTAAAATGACAGACATAAAGAAGGATGTAGTTGACGAATTACATAAACCAGCCAGAAAATTATTTAAACGTCGAAAAGTTATAATTAAAGGTCTTAATGATTTATGGCAAGCTGATCTTGTGGAAATGCAACCTTATGCAAAATTTAACAAGGGGTATAGATACATTCTTGTTGTAATAGACACATTTTCAAAATATGTTTGGGAGCTCCCTGTGAAATCCAAAACTGTTAAAAATGTAGCAGAAGCCATGAAAAAAATTTTAAGTGATGCAAAAACTCCCCCTAAGAATCTGCAATCGGATAGAGGATCTGAATTTATTGGTGCAATTTTTCAAAATCTTATGAAAAAATACAATATCAATCACTATAGTACATTTTCAAATTTAAAGGCGAGTATTGTAGAAAGGGTAAACAGAACATTGAAAAATAAAATGTGGAAACAATTTAGTATGCAAGGAAACTATAAGTGGCTAGATATTTTGCAACAAATAGTAAATGACTACAATAATACCAAACATTCTACAACAAACTTAAAACCTATCAAAGTTAACAGAAAAAATTAAAAAATTATGTTAAAAAATGTTTATAAAGGAATAAAAGTTGTTGATTCTAGAAGCCCGAAATTTAAAATTGGTGATTCTGTAAGGATAAGTAAATATCGGGAATTATTTTCCAAAGGATACACGCCTAACTCGTTTGACCAGTTATATTTTCAATTAAAAAAATTAATTTGACTAACCCTTCCACATACATTTTAGAGGATCAACAAAAAAATGAAATTCAAGGTGGTTTCTATCAAGAAGAATTGCAAAAAGCGAAACATCCAGACATATATTTAGCCCTTTGAGGACGGCAAAAAAAAGGTGTATATTAAAAATGAAATTTGTGAAAAACTACGTTTATTTGACATTAAAGTTTTAGAAAAATCACATTGGAAATGTACAATTATCCTGCATAATCCTACAGGACGCGGTTACTGGTACTAACCACTAGGACAAAGGAACTAGTTTTTATGAAAATTTAGAAAACAGTTTCTATCCTTATTCAGGCATAGACCAACGTCGCATGTAAAACATTTCCAGATGGTTCTATGGACATCTTATGCTGTACTACAATTACGGTGTACAAACAAATATGGTGAATAAAGAACGCAAGAAAGCCTTACTATAGCAAGAAAAGGAAATTTCCAGAAAATATTACCATAATCCTAGTGGTTACTATTGGTAACCGCAACAAAAAAACCTAACTACTAAAATGGAATTACAATATTTTCACGCGACCAATAGTTTTATGACATTTATAGATATAATCTAATTACTTACCAGTCATTTTTCAAATATATATGCGCTTTCTCGGAAAATAATAGATTTTTTTGTTCACTGCGAAATTTCTACATAAAAAATAGTAAAATAATAAACGGCAACTCGGAAAATACTCACCTGCATGCATGACTATTAATTTTGTCAAGTTAGACAACCCGTAAAACAACGTGGTTATTCGCGGAAACCTCTAGGAAAGTAGCTGCATGGCTTTAGATTTGTGGTTTACAAGGATAACCACGGGTCCTCAAAGGGTTTTGAGAAGGTACTTCGACGTAAAGGAAACCAAGTCTATGTAAAATGGCTTGGGCTGGATAAATCTTTTAATTCTTGGATATCAAAATCAAATGTATTATAGATCTCTTTCAATAAAAACACTTTTTTTTTAACACCTTTTTTTATTGTCAAGTATACACAATATTATAACTCAAAATATAAAAAATATCATATCGAGGGTATCTTCTTCAATTATTGTGAATTTTTCCTCCACAAAAACTTTTTCCTTGCTTTCTTTGAAAATTATTGAAAAAACTTCCTTTCTACAAAGTGGACAAGAGGATTTTTCCTTCATCCATTCTGTCAAACATTTTGAACAAAATTCGTGATTACATGATGCGGGCACACAAATTTCTTCTTTTTTCATTACATCTAAGCAAATACTGCAATCTTTTTCCATTCGAATTTTTTTCACCAGTTTTTTATTAAGTAACTTGTATTTTCGTTTTATCATTTCAAGTACGTAGGTATTGGCTAAAACCAAATAATGTCGATTCATGATTTTATAGTTTAATTTATATCTTGGTAAATAGAGAAACAGGGTGGTGGGAATTAATAACTTTTAATGAATTCAACATTATTTTTTTGGTTCAACTTCGATCGATAACTTTTGGTTTTTCCTGGAATAACCAGGTAAATAATTATGGTACATAGAAACAATATAAGTAATGTATTTTTGTTTAAACTGTGTTTTAAATGATTTTTATGTGTGATATCTATAATTGTAGTTTTCTTTTAAGCAATAATTCGGTAAAAAATTTGATTCGTGAAAATTATTTTTTATTGTAATGAGATCCGGGTTATTGAATATTAAAACACATACATATAGTCAATTAAATGATGAATATATTTTTTTAAAATTTAAAGTAGAACTACATAAAATATTCGTATAAGACCTAAAAAGCACTTAATTGAAATTAGAAATTCTAACACAAATAATAATACTACATAATAACTAATAATAATAATGATAATAATAATACCTAATAATAATAATAATAGTAATAATAAGTACTGTGAAATAACGTATCAGAACAGATTTCATTGTCTAAAGATCCGAAATCAATCTATGCCACTCTAGGAACACGGTATGTACACGGTGGCTGAAAAGAAAAGGAATAACCATAATTGCAATGTATGTAATGAAATGGATAAATAATAATACTAATAATAACAATAATAATAATAATAATAATAATAATAATAATAATAATAATAATAATAATAATAATAATAATAATAATAATAATAATAATAATAATCTTGCTGACTTTGTTTATTATTAAAAATAATAAACAAAGTCAACAATATTAATAATAAATTTACAATAAATGAATAAAGATCAATTTACCTATATAAAATTCATTGTTTTCTTTTGTTCCGTTGATTTTTCGAAGTCTTCCTCAATGAGCTGTTTTCTTTTATTGATAATGTTTATCAATTTATTACAACAAATAAGTTTTTTTATTGTAAACTTCCATCTTTTCCAAGATTTGTTTTTTCGTTTCATCGAGCTCATCTAGCAAAAATCCTTTTTCTGCAAAACGTGCGGCTTCTTTGTCCAACTCTTCATTTTCCGCCATCTCAATATCTTGGATTGCATGTTGCGGAGTAACAAGATTTACGAATTCTTGATCCAAAATAGGATCAGGACTTAGCAAATCGACAAATTCCTGATCCAAGTCTGGATCAGGAGTCATGCCTGGTGCCATTATACTTCGAAGTTCTACTTCATCTCGCTCTTCTAGTCGATTATCAGGATGCAATATTATCTGTTGAATAATCTTTACCTTCTTCTGGTTGTCATCGTTGGAGAGCTGTGCCATTTTGTAGGCTGATGGTTTTGAACGCATCAGTTTTTTGAAAAACTAGTTACTTGGAGACACTACTATAAACTTTAAAAGATATTTTTATATTACTTGTAAAAACTATTATAATTATTATTAGGTACTATTATTATTGATATTATTATGTAGTATTATTTGAACTTGGACTGCTGTACTGAACTGAAGTCTAGAGGAGCTTTCATCTGCTTTTATCTAAAAATTTCGTTGTGAAAATTGATTTTTTTATTTTTTGTTGGAACTTGTTTACGGTTTAAACAGGGTGTGTAGAGTTTCATAAAACATAAAATTTTAGTAAAATATTTTGTATCTAGAATAAAATATTTCACGTAATTTTTAATATAAAATACAAAAAAAATAAATTATAAAATTGGAAGCAAATTAAGTATTGAATATTTCATTGTTGAAGTTTGAATCTATATAGAATTTTTTATGAAGTTGTAGTACTTAGGCTCATCACGGAGAACGCAACTGGCTCTTATATATATATGAGGGGTTCAAAGCAAAAGTGGTGTAAGTCAAAAATTATTGTTTTGTGTAATCAGGCTTTAAAGTTTATTTAAAGTTTTTAAAAAAATATGGCAAGATAATTATTTATTTGTTTTTTATTTCAAAGTATATAACTAATATTGTATTTTTTATTATAATTTGTATACTTATTTTATCCTATTGGTAAAATAATTACAAAAAACTGATAATAAATTGACTTACACCACTTTTGCACTGAAAGTTTCAGGTAAAATAATTAAAATAAAATGTTTTACAATCTTTATTAAAGTAATATGAATACAAAATATATCAAGTTATATTGAACTACAAGGTTTTTAATCAAAAACCCATTCATCTTCATCTGAGGAGGTTTCATGCCTTGCTGTTTGTGCCTGACGAGTCCTAATTTCTGTTGGAAGATTTTTAAAATAAGCATGACGAATGGGGGGGATGAATGGTAATAGGTCCAGCATATCGCGCTTTTTTTGTTGTGTAACAATACGCCTTTGGGGATATAAAACATCCTGATTTTCTGGTAGTGAAACAGGCTGTTTTCCTTTTCCTGCTTTTGCTAAGGAAACTTCATTAAAATCTATCATTTCGTTGAGAGTTTCCTTATACTTAAATTTAAATGGTGAATCACGTTCAAATCTGAACCACCTGATTTTGAGCCAGCTATAAGTCTCTCCTCCCACATTTTTTTTGCGGTTTTTTATGGAATCTTCAAGACTCTTTGTCGACAAAAATTCAGTTCTTTTCATTTGAAATACTTGGAAGGGCCTTGTACGTTTTGCCCCCTTTACAATATCTATCCAATCTTCTGGGCCATGTATTTGTGAGTGTTTTCTGCTGGCTTTTTCTACTACCCCAAAATCAGCATCGTTGGGTAAAAATGAGTGTCCAGAAACTAAAAATTTTAAATCTAAAGTGTTTACATTCATGTTATTATTCTGAACCAGTTTCAATAATGTGAGTGCTAATTTTATATTTCTGTTTTGTCCTGTGCAAGAGTCAGAGTATAAAATTATATGGTCGTATTCACGTGCGTTCTCCATCAAGTGCTTCACGAGACAACTTGCAATGTCCTGGGATCCTCTACCCCCCTCCGTTTCATCCCACATGTACATGAATCCATTTGATAAATTAAATGAATGAACTCCAAAGTTGTAAATATACATGTTTCTTTTGTAGTATGCAACAGATGTGCTTAACTGTGGGAATGGTAATGCTTTTTGTAGGTCAAACGTTGCTACATAAAGTGTATCAGATGCTTCATTCTTATTCTTGTTTAGTGAGTCTCGTGCTTGTTTAGCCTTTGCTATGTGAAGATTTTTTTGGGTTTGAAGGTCTGTTTTAATTTCTTCATTATTTTCGGAAAGAAGTTTCAAGTGCAGTTCATCGCATGTTCTGCAGGAATCTTTTATAGGGGGCTTGAAGTGCAAATTAAATTTAGTAGAGAAAACTTTATAGTAAAATTTTTCTTTAACTGGCATTTTATTTTCATTTGTACATTTTTCAACATACATTTCGTACATCTTATGAATTGACAAGTTTGGATTTAAATATTTTCTATTGGGATTGTCTTTTCGACTATAATGACTTTGATAAGCTGGAAATGATTTAATATGCTCTATAACATCTAAGTCATTTATCTTATTGGCAGGGATTTTTTTACCGCGACCATCAGTAATATCAGATACTTTTTTCTTTGCAAGAATTCTGTAAAGTCTACCATCACTAATCTCAAATGTTTGCAAAAAAAATTTTTTACATATTGGTATATTAATGTTGTTAATTTTAAGACTATATTGGTATGTTACAGATTTAGGGCTTTTGGAATTATCCCGAGGACGCTTCTGTTTAATACTTTCAGATTTTATAAGCCCATGTATGAATGTATTTTGTTTTGAAAAATCTCCCAATTTCCAGAACGAGTCATGCATTATTTTTCTCTCATTTTCATTTACACGATTATTACACATTTTCTTACATCCACAGTTGATATTCTGAAAGCTTTTTGCTGGTACCTCACGCCCCCTTGAAGATACGTACTGCTCACCTTCATTTCGACAACGTTTTCTAACGTTTTTCTTCCAAGAACTTTCATTTCGTACTCTTTTTCTGCCGCGTCTGGGCGGCGAATGGGCTTCAGCCTGAATATTCACTTCTTCTTCCCCTTCTTCAGCCTGAATATTCACTTCTTCTTCCCCTTCACCATCAGTATCCTCTTCTGATCCTATAATATAAGATAGAAGTCGACTTACAATCTTTGAAAAAATTATAAAATAGCTAGATAAATTAATAAAATTGATAAATCACATTTACCCAAATTTGAGGGCTCATAACTCGACGAACTTGAATAATCCTCATCCTCAGATTCGCCAGTATCCATTTTGTATACTAATTTTACACAAACGACTCAGCAAAACTACTCAAATTTGCTGCAAAAGTCATAAAATACACATAAAACACGAAATGAGGTTAGAAATTGACTTACACCAGTTCTGCTCTGAATAATGTTCAATATTTTTCAAAGCAAAAAGACAACTTACGCCATCTATCGCGTTATTTATGGACAAATGACTTACACCGCTTTGGCAATGAAAAATATGATTTTAGAGAGTAGTTTTCTATATTATTTACATTTTTCCAAATTATTGACTTACACCACTTTTGCTGTGAACCCCTCATATATATATATATATATATATATATGAAAAAAATATAAACTGCAGCAGGCTTACATTGTCGGATTTTTTAATCATTTCTTCCTTATCTCTGTATAAATTTGCAACTTTGTAAGCTGACTGTGTTGCGAGAATTGAAATAATTATGTTTTGCATAATAATACAGTTACATTTCAGACATGATCAACGTTTTATCCTCTGACTAATTAGCATTTGGGATTCAGGTGCATTAAAAAAGGTTGCCTGGTTTTAATGGAAGTCTGTAAAATATGATCGAATTATTTTTGATTCTGATTCTTGTTTTTTTTCGTTTACCTTACTATCTGTGTGTGAAAACATACACAACATTGTTGCACAATTTAAAATAAGTATGCTTTCTCATGACTTTTTTTTTTAAGCCTAATTAAAATTTATGTGCAGTAAAAAAGCTGGCTGGTTTTAATACAAGCCCATAAATTTGGTTTAATTATTTTTTGATTTTGATAAGTACCCATGCTTTTTTTATTCTTGCTCGAGTCTTAAGGAATAATTGGCTATTACAGAAATATTCTCAATAATATGTGATACGGCTTTCAGACTTTTATTGTCTGATGAATTAAAATGTTTAAGCACTTTACATTTCCTTAATTATGGTTCAGTTATTTTCGTTTTTTATAAGAAAGAAAGAAGGAAAGAATATCAGATTTCAATAAAAGTCAGTAAATTAGGGTTCGTGTAGAAAATAAATTATCTAAACGACTAGGTTGTATTTAAAAATAGTAAAATATATTTGGATTAAAGTATTTTATTACAATAATAACATTTTTCTTGTGAATCTGGTGGACCATCTATGTGAGTTCTCCATTCTGCTCTATTATAGTGCATAAAGCACGGTAATTTAATCTGCAATAGGAAACTGTTTTTGTAACTCATCGGTAACTTTCCCCATGTATCCAAAAGTTCAAATGACTTCACATTTTTTAACAAATAATCCAACGGTATTCTCAATAATTCTTCGCTTGTAAAATCTGATAGCAGTTTTTCACCATTCATATGAGCTAGAACGTTGTCTATGGAGGAACAACAATTCATTTTCAAGTTTTCGTAGAAGGGTGATAATCTTCTTTATAGTTTTGTTGTCCGCAACCAAATGAATTTAATTGATGATTTTAAATAAATATACCTACGTTAAAGTTAGAAAATGAGGGGAATTAAAGAAGAATAAAATGGGGGGTGTTTAGTAGAAAAATGGGGGGTGTTTCAGGGTGGGGGGAAGAATTATTGTAGAAGAATGGGGGGTGTTTTAGGGTGGGGGGAAGAATGATTGTAGAAGAATGGGGGGTGTTTCAGGGTGGGGGGAAGAATGATTCCCTTGGTGGAATGATGCCTTACCTTCCACTCTACTGAGAGGACCAAATTATGTTTTGAAGGGTAGTCAATAATTGAATTATATTCTAATTATGCTGCATTTATTCTCCTTCTGTTGACAGCAAGCAAAAATTCAAAAACTTTTCTGTAAATTTGTCGACTGGTGTCGTTATTGTTACCAGATCCTTCAACTTAGGAAATCAAGATAAATTGATATGAAAGAATAGTAAACAATAAGGAAAAGTAGTATTTTTGGTTACCATCAGTAAAATATTTCCATATTCTCACCTTCTAAAAAGCACAACAAAATATCAGGTTTGTAACAGATTTAAACATATGATCAATGCAGCTTCCTATATGCTCATCTTCTGGCAATTTACTTCTATATTTATACAAATATAATTTTCTCTGGTTTTTTGAAAATCTACCTTCCGACTATCCTATTTGTAGGGTAAGCCCTAGTGACCCTCGACTAAAGGCTGGGACGGTACGAGTTGATGCTCTCCAAAAGTCAATATCCGCCAGTCTACGAGGTGAAGAAGTTATCCAGGTAAATTCAAGAGTAAACTATTGCCTGAAAGAGATACACTGCCCTTATGAAACAGAGATATATACAAAGATAATTTAATGCGGGCCGAAGTCCACTCACTGCATTTAATCAGGAACATTATAGTATATTTGAACAAACATAGTATTCTCTGGTTTCAATAAAAATAACTTAGTCCAATACTCTCTCTGTAGGGTAAGCCCTGGTGACCCTCGAGGACGGTATAAGCTGTTGCTTTTTAAAAGCCAATATCTGCCAGTCTACGAGGTGAAGAAGTCATCCGGGCTAACTCATGAGGAAACCATTACCTCGGAAAAGTGAACTACACCGATGCGAGATGAAGATACATTCATAAACAACTTACTGCAGGCCAAAGTTCATTTATTTCAATTAACCGGAAAAATTATGTTTAAAATTTATTGCCATATAAACTTAGACAATTAACCGGAAAAATTATGTTCATCGAATCAATATGGTTATGGTGCCTTTTTTACCGGACCATTCTGGTCTTGCGAATTTGTGATCTCCAAAACTAACACTCAGTAGTTGTCTGTGATTTGAAATCTCTCGTAGGATCTTTCCTCATTTCTTGTAGAGATTCTTGCAGATGTGGAAGTCTCAGACTATATTCCTTGTTGGAAAGCTCTATTGGTATTTCTGGCATCCGAACGAGTAGGTATATTATGCGGTTTCACCATCCTCCGTCCTCCAGAGAAATCAAATGTCAATCATATCAATCAAATCTGTCAATGTCGAACCGAACCTACTCCGAACTAATCGAATCTACTCTGAACTAGTATGATCTACTCCGAACTAATGTAACTAGTGCAACCTACTCCAATCTGCTCTGAACTACTTTAACTTATTGTGATAATTCCAAAGTATCCATCACAATTTCTTTATGTTGCAAAGTCTTATTTATTAGGTCCTAAACTAACATTGTTTTTTTTCCCTAAATCATAGATTATTCTAGACGATAAAATACCAAAAACTACAGCTATGGTTATTAAACAAAAAAAAAAATGAAAAAACTACTATAGAAGTAAAGACAATTTTTCAGTATGTATATGCCTGACAATAAATGCACCAACTTATTAATAATTTGGAATATTTAATGTTTGTACACTCACTACAAAATTTCGTGAATTTCAAATTTTTTTCCTCAAGTGGTTACGAGATTCCCACTTCCATCCTCGTTTTAGGGATCGCCGTTTTGTGCTGGTAGTGGTGGTGGCTGCAGAAACGATGACGAATGAAGTGTCTCCAAAATAAAGGTCATCCATTTTGCATCCAGATATATGTGCCATTTGATCAAAATCGCTCAAAAACAATTAAGAGAAATGTCGGAAATATTGATGTACTCTGAGGGCGTTGGTTGTTGTTGTTCAACCTCAACGTATTTGGTGGTTAGCTCATCATTTCCATCTCTTCGAAGAGGCATTTTTTACCGTTATTTTCCACAATTTATTTTACATCCTCTAAAATTTTAGAGATTAATATTCAACTGTGAGGAAAAAAAAAAGAAACAAATTAAAGGTTAGGACAAAAGGTACCTTCTATCATACATGAAATAAAATCCTTACTTAGGCTAGATATTAAAAATAAATTTTAGAAAGGGTCTATCTAATCCTTATCTTGGTTCGCCTTTTCTTCTTCCTCTTTTAATAAAAAAGAAAAATTTTCTTTCGCTAATTCGAATAATCGAACCTCCTATTCTGTAGTTTGTGGAAGTTTAGTTTATTTTATTGGCAAAATTCCGAATTTTTTGTCCAACGTTTCTTTTCGTGAGGTATATGATAATTTAACATACAGGGTGACAATTTGAAAAGTAGCAATCGGGTATATCTCTTAGACAAAAAATATTATCAGGAAGATCTTAAATACGTATCGGGGGATTGGAGGGGGAAAAAAAATGAAGAATTTTTTGAGTCACTCCGCCTCACCCCTTAGGGGGTAGCTACCCTAACTTATTTTTTTTTAATACGAACCTACCTTGTGTGGCACATCGTTCGATAGCTCGTTGTTATCCCTTTACAGTCATATAGCAAAATTTTAAATCGGACGATTAGTTTTTGAGATATCGGTGTTTAAAAATGAGCATATTTTGAAAACTAGTAATTTTGACTATCTCTTAGACAAAAGAATTCTGTCATAAAAGTGTCGAATACACATCGGCGCGACCAAATGTGTTTATTGCCTTACCCCCACCCCCTTATCTTGGGTGCTAGCCGCTCCTAATAATTTTTCTAAAATGAGAACCTACCCCGTGTAATAGCTCCTTTAAAAGGTTATTTATTCGTCTTTAGAGACGTGCAGAAGCAAATAGAATTACGATAATCACATTATTTGGTTTCGCCGATGTGTATTCGAAACTTTATTGATAGAATTTTTTTGTCTATGAGATAGTCAAAATTGCTAATTTCCAAAATATGCTCGCTTTCAAACACCGATATCTCAAAAAATAATCGTCCGATTTAAGATTTTGCTATAGACTGTAAAGGGATAGCAACGAGCTATCAAACGATGTGCCACACAAGGTATGTTCGTATTAAAAAAAAAAGTTGTGGTAGCTACCCCCTAAGGGGTGAGGCGGGGTAACTCAAAAAGTGCCTCATTTTGGTTCCCCCTCCAATCCCGCGATACGTATTTGAGACCTTCCTGATAGTATTTTTTGTCTAAGAGATATTCCTGATTGCTACTTTTTAAATTGTCACCCTGTATATTCTTGATCCTTTAATGGATATGTTTGGATTCCCATACCTATGCACAGTGAAAAAAGATTCAATATAATGAAAAAAAAATCAACAAATC